GTTCCTGGTGTCCCTGGGGACTTCCCTGGTGCTCTCAGTGTCCCTGGGGACTTTGCCAGTCTCCCCATTATGTCCAGTGTCCCTGCTGTTCCTGGGGACTTTCCCAGTGCTTCCAGTGTCTCTCCCAGTCTCCCCAGTGCATCCAGTATCCCTGGTGTCCCTGAGGACTGCGGTGCCCCCAGTGCCCCCAGCCCCCCCAGTGCTCAGTACGGCCCCGGCGCTCCTGCTGTCCGGGAGGACGCTGGTGTTCCCGATGTGTCCGGTATCCACGGCGCTCCCGCTGTCCCTGGGGACATGGGTGCTCCCAGTGTCTCCAGTTCCTCCAGTATCCCCTGCGCCTCCGGTATCCCCGGTGCCTCCAGGAGCGTCCCTGACGCCTCCAGCGTCCCCAGCGCCTCCAGGGCTCCTGGTGTCTCCAGCATTCCTGGTGGCTCCAGTGACGCCGGTGCTCGCGGTGCCTCTGACGCCCGCGGTGCCGCCGGTGCCGCCGGTGCCTCGGGACCCCCAAACGCCGCCGCCGTCCCTGCCGGTGGTCGGTGCGGTCCCATCGCTCGGCGCGGGCCCGGCGCCGCCACCGCTGTCCCCGGTGCTCGGAGGGGGCCGCGCGGAGCCGCCGCTGTCCCCGGTGCCGCCGCTGTCCCCGGTGCCGCCGCGGCGAGACTGGAGTGGCGCCGGGAGCGCGTCGGGAAGGCGGAGGCGGATCCCGGTGCCGCTCCGGCTGCCGGTGCCGGTCCCGGTCCCGGTGGCGAAGCCGATGCCGGTCCCGGTGGCGGAGCCGATGCCAGTCCCGGTGGCGATGCCGGTGCCGGTGGCGATGCCGGCGGCGGAGCCGATGCCGGTGGCGATGGCGATGCCGGTGGCGGGTCCCGGTGCGGGCGGCGGCAGCAGCAGCAGCAGCAGGAGCAGCGGCTGCGCGGCCTGGCGGGCGGGTGGAAGGCCCATGGCCGCTGCCCCCCCGTATCCCCCGGTGCCGGTGCCGGTGCCCGCAGCGCCCCGCGCCGCCGCCTGCGCCCCGCCCGCGCCCGCGCGCGCCCGCCGGGGCGGAGTCGCGGCTGCACCGGCCCCGCCGCCCTTAAAGGAGCCGCCGCCGCCCCGCACCGGCACCGCACCGGCACCGCACCGGCACCGCACCGGCACCGGCAACGGGACCCGCACCGCTAGCGGCAGCGCGGGGGGCACCGGGCGCACCCCCGAGAGCAGGTTGCGCGCACACACGTAAGGTGCACACACACATGTAAGGTGCACACACACACACATGTAAGGTGCACACACACACACACGTAAGGTGCACACACACACATGTAAGGTGCACACACACACACATGTAAGGTGCACACACACACACATGTAAGGTGGACACACACACACGCATTGTACACACACACGTAAGGTGCACACGCGCGCACACACACGCAAGGTGCGCACACACATGTGCATTGCGCACACACACGTAAGTTGCACACACACATGTAAGGTGCACACACACACACGTGCACTGTGCACACATACACGTGCATTGTGCACACACACACGTAAGGTGCACACACACACACACACATGTGCGTTGTGCACACACATGAAGTGCCTGGCACACGCACGAACATCACGGGCACACGTATGGCACACGTGAGGAACACACGGGTTGCACGTGCAGGGCACACGTGTGTGAGCGCATGTGACATGGGCAGAACACAGGGCACGTGTGTGACACACAGAGCACACACAGCACGTGTGACACACTCAGAACACACACAATACATGTGACAGCACACATCATGTGTGACACACACAGCACATGTGACACACCTAGGGCACACACAATACATGTGACACAGCACACAGCTCATGTGTGACACACAGCACGTCACACACACAGCACATGTCACACACACATACACGTCACACACACACACACGCCCCGGCCGTGACCCCACTCACGGGGGTCCATGTCCCCCCACGCCGTGGGACCCCCCACCCCGACCCCTGGGCTGGTCCCACCGCACAAGGACCGAGGGGCACTGGAACAGACTGGGAGGGACTGGGAATGCTGGGGGGCTCTGGGAGGGACTGGGCTGTACTAGGGATGTTGGGGGGGCACTGCCACAGACTGGAGGGGACTGGAGAAACTGGGGGCACTGGCACAGACTGGGCTTTACTGGGATGCTGGGGGGCACCGGGACAGACTGGTGGGGACTGCAGAGGGCGGGCGGGGGCGGATCCCCGCGGTTCGTGGGTGCCCCCCCCAGCCGGCGCCGGTCCCGGGGCGTGGGTGCGGGCAGGCGGCGCGGGTCCTCCCCCCGGCAGAACGGGTCGGACGGGTCCCGGGGGGGACCCCCCCCGTGCCGGGGCGGTGCTCGGAACCGCCGGGTCCCCCCCGCCCCCGCCAGGGGCTCCGCTGACTCACGGGGGCCACTCCCCGCCCGCCCCGCCCGCCCCGCCGGAGGTTCCCACGCACACACGGGATGGATGGGGGGGGCAGCCAACCCCCCCTGCAGTGATGGAGAGGGATAAACCCCTCCTATGTGTCCCCCCCCAGGCCGGTGGGGGGGCGGGCGGCAGCTGGGGCTGAGCCTGGGGGCCCCCCGGCCCCACTTTGCATCACAAAGGGGCTTTGTCTGCAGCTTTGTGTGGGGCTGGGAGAGAGGAGGGGAAAGGGGGGGCCACGGGAAATGGAGAGACACCCCCCCTGCACGCTGGGGCGGGAGCTGGACCCCCCCCCCGTGCCCCTCGGCACCCCCCCAGCACACGCAGCTCAGCAGCTCTTGCCTTTATTGGATGGAGGACACGGGGGGGTGTCCCCGGCCCCACTCAGCGTGGGGGGACACGGGGGGGTCCCCAGCCCCGCTCAGCGGGTGGGAGGGACACACGAGGGGGGGCCACACTCGTGTCAGTTCTTTGTGCCGCGGGGGGGCCGACGGTGACTCCCCCCAAGCGAAGCTGAGGGCATGGCCCAGCGAGGAAGGTGGGATGACTCAGGAGACCCCAAAAGTCCCTCGGGGGAGTGCGGGGGGGGGGCCCTCAGACCGCCATGTTCTTCATCTGCTCCTCCAGCCCCTGCTCCCGGGCCCCCCCTGCCTTCTTCTTGCCCCCCCCTTCCTGCTGCTTCTTCTGCTTCTTGGAGAGCTCCTGCTCGATGGGCGCCGGCTTCACGAAGGGGATCAGCTCCCGCAGGTCTGGGGGGCACATGGGACCCCCGTCATCCCCCGGCATGGGGAGGACATGGGGGGGTCACTGGAGGGGGTTACCTGGGGGCGTGAATTCCTGGGACAACGGGTCATGAGGGGGTCACGGGGAGGAGGTGTTACTTGGGGGCATGAAATCCCAGGACAGTGAGGGGGTCACAGGGAGGGTCACAGGGGGAATGGAATCCTGGGATGGGGGGCTCACAGGGGCCATGAAATCCCGGGACAGGTGGGGTCTCGGGGGGGGGTCACAGAGGCCACAAAATCCCAGGATGGGGGTTACAGGGGTGTTACCTGGGGCCATGAAATCCCAGGATGGGGGTCACAGGGGTGTTACCTGGGGCCATGAAATCCCAGGACGGAGGGTCTTGGGGGGTTACCTGGGGCCATGAAATCCCAGGATGGGGGTCACAGGGGGTGTCCCTGGGGCCATGAAATCCCGGGACGGGGGTCTGGGGGGGATGTTACCTGGGGGCATGAACTGCCGCAGCCTCTCGGGGACCAGGATGCCCTCGGGGGTCTGGTGGTTCTCCAGGATGGCGCAGATGGTGCGGGTGGTGGCACACATGGTGGCATTGAGCATGTGCACGAACTCCACCTGGGGGGGACACACCCCACACCCCGCAGTGACTCTGGGGTCCCGGGCCCGTTTGGGGGGTCTGTGTGGGGGGGAGGGGAAGGGGGGAACCAATGCCCTGAGACCCAGAAACAGCCCGATTTTAAGGCACTTTTGGCACTTTCGTGATTTTAGGACAGAGCTTTGAACCGAACATTTTGGCACCACATTCCAAAATGTGGCTTAGTTTTGGTTTCAGTAGAGAACAGATTTTTTAGCAAGCCAGGAAACATCTACTCTGAAGAGAGTGTTTTGGGTGTTCCTCCAAACAGGGAAAAAATTATTATATTTTGTTATATATTTCCATATTGTAGTTAGGTTTTATATATTTTTATACATTTATATATATTTTTATATATTTGTATATATTACATACATTTATATATTTTTATATATACTATATATGTAATATATTTTTATCTATAATATATATTTTAAATATAAAATATATTTTACATACATTTTATATATTGTATATATAATTATATACTTAAATATTAATATATTATTCTGTTTTATATATTAGTTTAGATATTTTATACACTAGTATATTATATTTATGTATTTTATATACTTATATATTATTCATATATTAGTCTATATTCTATATATTATTATACAGAATATATATTAAATTTTAGATATTTTACATATGATAAATTTTTACATATTTATTTCCTTATATATTATTCATATATTAGTGTATATTCTATATATTATTATATTTTATATATTATATTTTATATATTTCGTAAAACGATCTATTTATATATTAAATATATTTATATATTATACATTTTATATATTCATTTACTTATTAATATATTCATGTATATTTTATATATTATTCTATTTCATACACTATATTTTATATATTTGATATCTTTATATATATTATATAATTACATATTATACATTTTATATATTCACTTTTATATTATTAAATATTTGTATATAATTTATAATATTATTCTAATGTATACATTATATTTGATATATTTCATATATTTTTATATTATAAATTTAATATATTTAATATACTTATATACTACACATGTATATATTTTATATATCCCTGCATTTTATATGTTATATTTTAAATATTCTTAACTATTGTACATACATTTTATAACACCTCTCAGTTCTTGGAACCCCTGATGAAATCTGGGGGGAAATTTGGGGAAATTTGAAGAAATTTGGGGAAAACCTGGAGAAACTTCGGGGGAAATTTGAAAAAAATTTGGGGACGTTTGGGGAAAACTTAAGAAAATTTGGGAAATTGGGTGAAATCAGAAGACAGAGGAAATGTGGGAGAAAAATGAGGAAATTTGGGGGAATTCTGGGCTGGAATTTTGATTTAAGTGCTGTGGAGGGGCTGGATTTTGACTGGAGTGTTCTGGATTAAGTGGAACTTGATTTCAGTGTTGTGGAGGGTCTGGATCTTGATTTAGGTGTTGTGGATTTATTGGATCTTGATCTAAGTGTTGTGGAGGGGTTGGATTTTGACTGGAGTGTTGTGGATTTACTGGATTTTGATCTAAGTGTTGTGGAGAGGTTGGATCCTGACTGAAGTGTTGTGGATCAATTGGATCTCCACTCCAGTGCTGTGGATCAGTCTGTGCTGGGGCAGTGTTGTTGTTGTGGTGGAACATTTTAGTCCCCCTTGTGTGGTGCCCTTTGGAACCTCTACAAGTTCCCTCATTTCCTCCCCTAAATTGTCACTAAAAACATCTCTTGGGAACAAGTCTGGGCTCATTCTCTTGCCAATATCTCGAGGTATTAACGAGCCCTAAATATATTTCTGTTTTAAAGCCCTGGCTGAGCCCGTGAGCTCGTGGCTCCGGAGTGCTCCAGGGGGACACGAGTGACACGGAGAGAGATGGGGGACACGGACAGGCCCCCCCAGAACCCCCAGGCTCACCTTGTCCATCATTTTCTTGGTCTGGCCGTAGCGGATGCGCAGCCGCCGCGCCTGGTAGTCGGTGCAGTTGGAGCAGGACACGAGCTCCCGGAAGGCTCCGGAGCCGGGAAACCAGGCCTCCAGATCCAGCTTTTTGCTGGCTGCGTGGTTCAGGGAGCCTGGGGACAGCAGGGACACAGGGGTGAGTAGGGGGGCTGGGGGGGCCCCCACTGTCTGCCCTGAGTGTGCCCGTCCCTGGGGATGAGGGATTCCATGGGGTGAGGGATTCCTGCTCTGCCACAGGGATGAGGGATTCCCTGGGGATGAGGGATTCCCTGGGGATGAGGGATTCCATGGGGATGAGGGATTCCATGGGGTGAGGGATTCCTGCTCTGCCATGGGGATGAGGGATTCCGTGGGGTGAGGGATCCCATGGGGATGAGGGATTCCCTAGGGATGAGGGATTCCTGCCCTGCCCCAGGGATGAAGGAGTCCCACTCATCCCTGGGAGCCTTTATCAGGATCATTCCCCTGTCAGCACTTCCAGGAGGAGCCAGGACACTCCAATTGTCCCTCTGGAAGGGCCAGCAGGGACAATCCATCCCACCCCCCTTCCCATGGACCCAGAGAATTCCACAGCAAATAAAACACACCCTTCCCTCCCTCCTGCTCCTCCTCCCGAGGGCTGGGGACAGGGAATGCTGAGCTGGGAAGGGGTCAGGGCCAGGGGACACTGGGA